AATTCTGTAACACCAGAAACAATGTCAGTAAAACAGTAAATTCCTAATAAATAGAAGAATGAAATATTGTTAGGAAATAAATAATAATGCAAAGTATATATGCTACTATTATTGCGTGAAGTCAATTATTGCTGTGAGAGAGAAAATGCATAGTGAAAAATGTGTTTCTACAATTGCCTGCATTTGTCAGATATTAATTTAATGAATAGAGATCCTCCCTGCTCTGTGAAAGCGCTTTACTTCAGTCTTTATGTCTGCTATATCAGATCAAAAGTAGCTATTGGGTTCTGTCTCAAAAGACAGGTTGCTTGTTACTGCTCATCATTTGTTTTATTTTCATTATGAAGAAATGCATTTCAGAAATAAATACATATTCAGTCACTCTGATAAACGTCAAATGTCCCCTCATTAAAACCTATTATTCTTTAGTGGCCTCAGCCCTCCTCTACGTTGTTGTTCGCTGGGCCCATAGCAGCACAGAGCAGGACAGAAAGAGACTGAAAAAGCTTAGATTTAGACTTTAAAAACTTTTTTCTTTTAGTACAGCTTTTCAGACAGTGAATAAACATTTTCATCTCTTAAAGTGTGGCAGTGATCAAATGTAAACGATGTGGGAGAAGCTCAGAGGATTAATATATATGATGCAAATACTCAGTTTTTTGCAGCTGTTGCTTGTTTTAAAAGTTTGTCTATTTTTTTTTATTCTTGCATTAAAATCTCAAGTTCAGGTATTCTGAAATTGTCACTTCCTGTTTGCCTGTTGCCATGGTGACTCATCAGATCAGTCAACTCAGAGTGCACCCATTCAGAGCAGCTTTTGTTAAACTGATAATTCAGTTACCAACCTTAATCTAGGATGTGAGTCAGTTTGTTAAAGAGATCACTGGAATTAGAAATATTTAACATTTCATTAAGCCCCTTTTCAAACAGATCTTTTACCAGAGCAGAAGTTTAAATTCCTTTGCTCAATATGCTCCATTTAAAGCATTCATTCTGAAGGAAGGCTTTTATTTAAACATTGCCTGGCCAGTTTTAAACAGACGTTTGGAGAAGTCTGAACCTTCTGAAGAGGCAGAGGGAACAAACCAAGAATGAAATGAACCACAAAATATGGATTATGTATTTGCAAAAACTGAACCCAACAGGGAGCCTTTATTTACCTAGTTTCATTAATTACTTTCATCAGAAAAATGATAAAGGAATGTTTCTCTTTAAGTAGGGTGGGTGGCTCTTAAAAGAGCCGTTGGGTTTATTGGTTCAGTGGAGGTGCTTTACTTGGTCTTGGTAGC